AGGGAAACTGGTTGCAGGGGACAGTCAAAGAGGAGGATATCACAACAGCCTTGTAATTAACAACTTGCCTGGTAGATGCAGGTGACAAGGAAATTCATGCAGGTAAGTGAGCATGATGGCAAAGGAGGGAGGGGTCATGCCATCCCTTCTGTTCAAGCTTGTTTGGTTTTTGTACTGGCTGCAGAAAAAGGGTGGTTCCTTCTTCCATGGACAGCAAGGAAACAGTGGAGTCCACCAGTCCTCTTGGGAGAAGGCAACTTTTAAAACTAGCATGTATTTCCATGCTTACCTTCCTCTGTCTGTGGGCAGCATGGCGGTAACAGGCTACTAGTCTCTTAAAGGTAAAGGTACCCCTGACTGTTAGGTCCAGTCGTGGACGACTCTGGGGTTGCGTGCTCACCTTGCTCTATAGGCCGAGGGAGCCGGTGTTTCTCCGCAGACAGCTTCCGGGTCATGTGGCCAGCATGACTAAGCCGCTTCTGGTGAACTAGAGCAGTGCACAGAAACGCCGTTTACCTTCCCGCCGGAGCGGTACCTATTAATCTACTTGCACTCTGACATGCTTTTGAACTGCTAGGTGGGCAGGAGCAGGGACCGAACAACAGGAGCTCATCCCGTCACGGGGATTCGAACCGCCGACCTTCTGATCGGCAAGCCCTAGGCGCCATGGTTTAACCCACAGCGCCACCCGCATCTAGTCTCTTAGTCTCTTAGCAGACTACTAACTTTTTGCACAGGCCAGTAACTTGTGCGGGCTCTTTTGCAAGGCTGGGCTACAAAACAATACAAGATGCTGCCAGCGACTATGAACAACCCCTTTCAGTCCAACTTTCATCTCAGGTTAACATTTAACAACAGGCCATTTGCCAACTTGCACCTGCTCCTCTTAGCTCAGCTGAAACACACAGTAGTTTTGCATTAAGTGTGCTGCAATGGCTAGAGTGCTGGGTTTGGCAAACCTAGAATCAAGTCCTCACTCAGTCACGAAGCTCTCTGCGGTGGCCTCGTTTGAATCGTTTTTCTTTCAACCCAACATCCGTCACAGGGCACTGGTGAGAATAAATTGCTGCTCTGTGCTCCCCGGAGGAAGGGAGGGATTCATAAAATTCCGTTCCAGGTTAGTTTGCTGACAAACTAAAGAGCTCTCTGCAGCAATTTTTGGAGTGACCAAGTACAGCTTGGGATCTTGACTCAAGTGTGAACAAACAACTCAGAAATCAAACTCGGGAAGTCATTCCAACAGATGAGCTAATAAAGAATACAACATCTTCACATCCAGTTTGTGAAGTGAGTTGTTGAGGCCACCTGGTGGGAAAACGCACATTTACAGCTTCCAAGTATCCCCGCGGCGGGGTGCGCTCCCGTCGTTCGGTCCCAGCGCCTGCCAACCTAGCAGTTCGAAAGCACCCCCGGGTGCAAGTAGATAAATAGGGACCGCTTACTGGCGGGAAGGTAAACGGCGTTTCCGTGTGCTGCGCTGGCTCGCCAGATGCAGCTTGTCACGCTGGCCACGTGACCCGGAAGTGTCTGCAGACAGCGCTGGCTCCCGGCCTATAGAGTGAGATGAGCGCACAACCCTAGAGTCTGTCAAGACTGGCCCGTACAGGCAGGGGTACCGTTACCTTTATGGTGAGATAAAAGTGAATCATACTGGAAAAAACAGGGAGGTCAGGGGGCCTGATCACAATATGTGTGCTATGGACACACAAAGGGGAGGAGGGTGTACTGCTTCACGGAGTAAACCTTCATGGAGTTTCAATATAAACATAGATATTGATTTACATCTGAGATTAAAAGATGAACAGTGGGAATGCGCATGAATAAAATGGGGTTTGGAAAAGCACACCAGCACAGAAAACAGGTAAAGGAAGTACAACCATCATTTGCAGTTGACGTATGGGGTTGAGCAATGTTATGTTCTCATAAATCAATAAAATTCTTTATGTCATTAGACAGGTTCTTAGAAGAGGTACATCGTTCACAAGACGCCATCTACAGTTTCCAGACTTACTATGGGGTGGTCCAGCATTCTAAATGCTGGCATACCTGACTGGAACAGTTTTGATATTATTAACTTATAAAGCTTTGCCAGACACATGAGAAATAGCCTTTTAAAATTTGACTCCTAATCAACTGCATTTTGCAATTTCCCCCATAATTAAGAGAAACCACACCTGACTGTGTTCCAGGCCTTTTGGCTGGTTTGCTCCAAGTATTTCCAATTTCTGGCTATAATAAGCATTTGTGCTGCAGCCAAAGTAGGCAACAGAAGTTAATTCCTGCTTTGTAATTCACTTGATTTCTCCAAAAACCATTTCCTAAAACCCAGTCATTTGAGGGAGGTACTTGAGGGAGCGCTCCCACTGTGCTCAGGAGGCTTCGCGTTGCTTTCGCTGAAGCCAGGAGAGCAAGAGGGATTGGTGCGCACCGATCCCTCTTGCTCTCCTGGCTTCGCTTCGCTGGAGAGGTGCTCCTCAGGGAAAGCTGGAGAGGGAAAGCTGCGCAGCACCCCTTCAGCGAAGTGGCAGGAGAAACGGAAGGGGTGCGGGGATTTGAACCGCTGACCTTCTGATCGGCAAGTCCTAGGCTCTGTGGTTTAACCCACAGCGCCACCCACGTCTCTCCAACGATCGTATGTAGCTATTCTTACACAAAGGAAAGGGCCTCTGTTGTGGTGGTGCCCTGATTTTGAAATACCCTTCCTAGAGAAGCTTGACTGGTGTCAACACTATAACCTTTCATGGCTAAGTTAAGACTTTCTTGTTTGGCCTAGCATTTAAAGGGATTCCATTTACTGTTGGTTTTTAGTTTTTGTCTTTTGTTTTATGATAGGAATTACATTTTGTGAGGTTTAATAATTTTTAAAACCAATACTACCAACCACATGCGAAAGAAACATAAACTATGGCAAACTAGGGCAAAGTTGTGGAAAATGAGAGAAAAGATAAGGAAGGGTTGGTGGAATGAAAAATCTTCATGGTGGTGGTTAAGAGCTTAGCTAGCCTTTCACCTCCTGATCATTGATATATTTTCACTAAGCTTTGAAATAAACCCTTTCCCAGTGGTTTTTGCAGAATCAGGAGATTAATCCCAGAGGAAGGGGGGACACCCACCCACCACCCCCTTTAAAGAGACTATGAGCACAGTTGGATTAGAAACTGTTGTCAAAATGGAATTGAACCCTCCAGCCTACTGCATAACTAAAAAAAAAGACATATGCAGAAGACTTACCTTGATACTGTTTTTAAATAAGAATCCTGGCGTTGAGAAGCCTTTCTTTTTATCTAGTGGTTCACTGAATATAACAATCTGTTCAAACAGGAACACCCGCCTTTCTTTGCAACGTGGCAAGAGTCCCGTTTCCTGATCTGTAACCATGAACGTATCTTGCAGCAACAGCTTACCCTGGGCAACAATCTTACCCTAAAAAAGAGAGGCCAGAACAAGTTGAGTCAACCCTTTTTAGTCCATCAGCTGAAACAAGTCTGATAAATGTCATTTGGAACGCTGGGCACCTTTCCAGTTAGGAGTTTGATCTGGCCTTCCACAAATTGTCATGCAGATCTTTTTTGGTTGGAAGATTAAATAAGAAGAGTTTGTTTTAAGAGCCTCTGTGCGTTCTATGTTGAGCTTAGGGGTCTGCTCTTGTTGTCGCCAGTTCACTTTGGTACTATGGTGTTCTGTTAATGCCTGCTTGTTATTAACTGATAAACTGTGGACCTCTTTGGATAATTGGGTTGTTTGAGAGGCAATACCTCTAATTTGTTGGAAGATATGCTCAACCGTTCTTGCAATTAGAGTTAATTGGGTGCTCTCCCTACTTGTTATTCCTTCCTCTCTGAGCGGCACAGGATCAACTTGCCCCATTGCTGGATCCAGTTCCAGCTGAAACAAGTAGTTATATTACCAAAGAAAGTATGGCTAACAACGTTTTTTACATTCCACATGGCTACGTTACTGAGAATTAGTGCTGCTCTCCGATTCAAACTATATCTACATTCTTACGGTGCTCTGCTAAATTTATCCCTGAAGGACTGTAGCTTGTAGAAGACCGAAGATGGGAATCCAAAGGGACATGTGACTGATTAAAAACAACAAAATAGCAGAAATAGTGGGATCAATACAGTTAAGATTATAGAAAGAAAACCACACAATCTCTCATGGTCATCAGGAAGCCTTTTCCCATTCCACGTGATCATGGGTTGTGTGCACACTTCCTTTGGGACACATCTTGAAATGTCACAACCAAGCAGCCCCACCCGTTAGCAAATGTACAATTTAGTGGGGTTCAGGAATGCAGCTCCTTACCTCCATAGCTGTCAACTCCCCCCCCCTTTTAAGGGAAATTCCCTTATTCCAAATAGGATTCCTTGCAAGAAAAGGGAAAACGTTGACAGCTATGCCTTACTTCCACCTGATGTATATCATCTGAGCCATTATTACACAACAGCCACGTGAATTTGGGCTCACTGCATTATCTCTGCACATTATATACTGGCTCTTGTTCAAACAACTGTGACATTCAACATGCATAGGTCAGATGAGAACAGGGACTAATCTACATTGGTGAGTTATAACGTTAAAATGTGTTATAAAAATGTAACACCAGAGGGAGCTGTAGAGTAGTGATGTGTTGCCAATGGGAAATTGCACTGGGAGCTATTTTTTAATAGCATTTTCCAGATCAGTGTAGATCCAGCCCAGGTGCTCTAGGAGGATAAACAAGGACAGGGACAAGAGACCATGAGATCTAAGTTTGGGTGCAAGCCTACAGGGGCACAGTTCCCTGTACTATTCCTAGCCTTATGCTCTGCCCACCTGCCAGCATTACAGTTCAGGGACCTAGCAGGGGCAAGCGAGCGAGAAGGCTGCTTCCCTATGGTCTGTTTTCAACCTCTAACGAGAAAAAGGCACTTTAATTGGATTTTAGGAGTAATTTTGAAGCTGAAACAAGTCCAAATGTTAAAGAGTACACGCACTTATTCTTAAAATGCTTCCAGGTGACTCGAAACCAGATTGTAATGGGAGGATGCTGTTTGTGAAGAAAAAGGTGCCCAAACCCAAGGAAGGACTTACATCAAATCCTTGTAAACGACCAACATTCATCATGTCGTTGCACCGTTTTGGGACTATACACATTACTTCTACAGCCCTCTATTGAATCAAGAAAGAGAGAGAGATTAGAACAGTCAACTGTGCAATGCCTTTTAGTTATTCTTTTCAGATTCTCTAAGGTGCCACTTCCAAGATTGATTGCACACATCAAAGACGCAGGCTATATAATAAAATTTGTTGGGAGACTGCTTCTGGGAACACCCTGCCCCTTCCTGTAATCTCCATGACGAATTCTCCCAAAGTGATGGACCTGCTGCTTTAACCATTAATTCCAGAATAAATGCAATGTGGAAAAACAAAAACAGAACAATCTGTGTGAAGGAGGTCCACAGACTACAGACAGACACAGAAAGAGTCCTATAATTCTGCTACAACAGCTGTCTTGATGCTGGCATAAATATTTAAGAAAGCAGTATTTCTAAGTACCTCTAATTCTGTTGTATCAAGATTAGCTTTTTTGGAGTACTTAAGGAAGTCCTGCAAAGAAAAAGAAAGAACTATGAGTTGACATCTTCCATTAAAATTATATATGTGTATGCATATATACTGGACAGTCCTGATGATCAGAAACTGCTGATGATAATAAAATGTGCATTTATCTACCATCCCATTTTGGGACTTCTGGGAAGCCCTGATGTACAGCATATCAGAAATAAAATGCTTAGGTGAAGAAATCAAACAGTAAAAAGGAAGTGTGTTTCCTGACTGTCCTTCAAATTGTTTTGCATATTTACTGTGTTTTTGTTTTATATGGGGAAGTGCTTTAGGTTGTGTATTTTATGGTTGTAACCATATGTTATAAGGGAGGTAAGAAATCTAACAAAACAAATGTTCTTTTATTCACAAGTAGCTCTGCTTTCTCTGAAATTGGCAAACAGAGGAAATGAAACATTTTCAGATCAGAATTAACACTAGTTATTTACTATTTCCTGATGCATACTTATGTAAACTACCTTAGCGGACACACAGTGCTCCAACAAAAACAAAGAACATTTGTGGGTACTTTCTGAGAAATATCTGTCTATATAAGATGCAAAGCAATCTATTTTTTTTAAGGGTTCCAAATGCTATACAGCAATAAAAACCCCAGCCGAGAGCATTCAAAGTGCCTTACCTTTAGTAGCAATTGGTATTTCATAATTCTTTGCACTGGTTTTATCAGCAAGTCGGTGAGCTGAAGTCGGTGACCCAAACGTTGCTTCAGGTCCTAGTAGTAGTAAAATAAAAGTTCAGAGCAGATCCTGTAACTCTCTATATTGAGAGGAAGTATCATCAAGGAGGCTAGTTTTGACATCTACTGTAATACAGATTTCCCTTCAGGATTCCTAACAGCTTCCCTTAGATTAACTCTCTAATTTACTTAGCAAAATGAACTGTTAAAAAGAGGAAGTTTGCTTTTCAGTAGGGCTCACGCCTTCCCTGACTTCGTTCTATCCATATCCCAAATAAATCTGTTGAGTCTCATCCCCTTTATCCTGTCTGGGCCTATCATCCCTCCTGTTAAAGGACGACGGTTATTCTTAGGTACAGTGGTGCCTCACAAGACGAAATTAATTCGTTCTGCGAGTTTTTTCGTCTTGCGAATTTTTCGTCTTGCGAAGCACCACTGTATTAAGTCTGCAGTAATTTTAAGAAGTGGTCCCAACATTCTTCAGCAGGCTACCACACCGCGTGCTATGAGGTACTCCTCGAAGTCAAGTCGCAACTGCACCTCTAAAGCACCCTGGGTATTAACGATTTTAAGAAAAAGGAAACAAACTTGCAAGACGTTTCCGTCTTGCGAAGCAAGCCCATAGGGAAATTCGTCTTGCGAAGCAACTCAAAAAACCAAAAACCCTTTCGTCTTGCGAGTTTTTCGTCTTGCGAGGCATTCGTCTTGCGAGGTACCACTGTACACACAGCCAGACCATCTATGGATGCCAAACCTGGGGGCTTACATTTTAATAACTTAAACTTTAATAGGACAGGGGGATGATGGTGGCAGCAACCTCAGGCCAGCTTGGGAACAAGGAAGACTCACTTTGGCCCTACTGAATTTTCCAGACTTTGATTGGTTGGCAAAAGAAGGATGCAAAAGTAAACTATTCCCCTGGATTGTCAGTTGGGCTAAAACTAGTTTTCTATTAACACTTGATGCTCAGTCAATACAGGGGCATCATGTGTTCATACATATCTAGGGACCAACATCTATCCTTGCTTGTACCTTCAAGCTGACAGAATCAACACCGTAAACAGAGATTTAGCCACATCTGAATAAGTAGTAGTCTCTATTACTCTTCATTTAAACCAGTGTTTTCCCAAACTTAGGTCTCCAGCTGTTTTTGAACTACAACTCCCATCATCCCCGACCACTAGTCCTGCTAGCTAGGGATGATGGGAGCACCATCCAAAAACAGCAAGAGACCCAAGCTTGGGAAACAATGGTTTAAACTTTCCCCCTCATTTCAATGTCTTTGGCCTGGTATGTGAAAGCAGCTAGTGATTTGAATTCAGGTTGCTATGACAACATCTTAAGATCCAGTTAAACGAGTCGATGTCACTCGGCTTCCTGATGTCTCACAAGTATTGTATGGTAAAATCACAAAAAAACACGATTCCTTGCTGTAATTCACCTTGAAGCGGAATTTGATGTACAGAGTTATTAAACCCTAGAGCTAAATGGGGGTTGAGGGGGTGGAGAGAGAGTTTATTCATTTGGTAACAATAAACTAATTTCGATCTCAGCCACAGATCCTGAGAGAGATAATGTCTCAGAGACTGCAAAGAACAAGAATTTTTGGAAAAGATTATGAGTATATTTCTTCTGCCCAGAAAGAGACAGCCAACCCCCTTCTCCCCTGCCTTTGGCACTTACCTCAAAAAAAGTATCAATGTACTCCGAGACAATATGCTCAGACTTTGGTTTGTTTTGGCAGTAAACTATGTACATGTGCAATCTTCTCTCCTGGAGCAGAGGGGAAAGAACAAGGATGTTGTATTTCATGAAAACGTAAAGCATACTCGGCACGGACCAGAACAGCACAGATCATTAGAACAAAAGCTACCATATTCTACAGGAATATAATGGTCCATATAAGATATTCCATTTTCCATACTGTCTCACCTACTCTCTTCCTTGCATATGCTCACAAGTGCTTGGATAAATCAAGTGTGCAACAGACTGTAGACTAGGTGTGGGGAACTTCTGGCCTCTTCAGATGTTGCTGAACGACACTTTCCATCAGTCCAAGAAAGCATGGGCAATGCTCAGAGGTGATGGCCATTGCAGTTCAGCAACAGCAGGAGCTTGAGAGGTTCCCCATGACTGCCGTACACGAACACAGCCAACAATGATAATTGCAACTGAAGGAGAGCACCTTTTACACAATTAGCCTGCTGGTGGTCATATCTATGTTCGCCTCAAGTCTACACTTTGTGCCCAGAGACGTTTGGCAGAGGATTATAACCCACATTACTGTCAAGGCATATCCTCCCTGCTGCCCCCAAATTAATAAATCCATTTGTTATGCAGGCTTGTGCATGAGAGCAGCTGCTCCAAAACTTTGCGCCCTCAGGGACTGCTTCCCACTGCCAAGGAACTGTCAGAGCCAGTCATGAACCCTCCTTATATTGCAAAGAATTCTGGAGTGTACTCTAAGGTTGTGGGCATTCTAGGGCACACTTTGAGTCAAAGCAAGGTCCAACACTTCTCTCTGGCTGTGTGCTCTGCAGGGCTAAAATGACAGTAATGAACAACTCCATCTTTCAGGAAGTGTGGCTGATCTTCTTGAGGAGACTCCCACCCCCACCATGAGGAAATGTGTCATGATCCAAATAAAGAAGTGAAGAAATAACCTCTGTTCTTTAAGAGCATATTTCAGATTCGTTGTACATATGGAAAGCCAGAAAAGTCTGGCTAAGTAGAAAAATCAGGAAACTAAGTGAGAGTGTAACAGATTGCACGTTCTGTCACTGCCTACACATTTAAGAGAGAACGGAAGGCGTTAGTGCTGGAATTTGTTCTGTGCATAATTTCTTTATATCTCCCCCAAGTTTACTATTCCTGCCACTCTAACTAAGCATTTTGGAAGGCAAAGAAGCAAAGCAAAGTAAGTTCATGCATTTTTTTTAAAAAGGCACAGAATGGAGAATACATGGGTGAAGATATAAGGGCTGCTTGTATGTTGTCAAATATCCAGATCTATGATCAACGCGGCTTCTATATATGCAATGGAGAGGAGGAACATACTTACATGTTTAACAAAAAGTGATCCCAATTTTTCTGGATCCTCAAGGCACTTCTCTAATTCTCCTAAAAAGAAACTGAGCAGTACAAACATATATTTATTATTAGCCTCATTGTGGCAACAGACAACTGATTCAACAGCAGACAACAGTTTGGTTGCATTTCCTCTGTGGGAGGCATCCACTTTCGGAAATAGAAAGGTTTGTGGAAGACGCATCAGTGGATTGGCTGAAGACACTTTTGTCATTTGCCAGCAGCCATATCACATCGCCCCAGTGTTATGTCCAGCCCGGCAACCTCTTAAATGCTGCAAGAAATCCCAGGGTGCCCCTCTCAGCTTGGACACTGCTGAGTAAGTTCCCTTAAAATTATAATTGCCTCAACCAGCCACTTGGTTTGACTGTGTGGCTGGGACAATTCTGAGCCCAGGCGAAGAACATCTGGGGAAAGTGTAGGGTTTCTTCAAAATGAAAGTTAACAAGCAACAGCAAGGAAGCTTTGCCCTAACTTGGGATTCCTCTGAATCAGAGCTCAACTAACACATATGCCATGTCCTCTTCATCACAATGGCAAATAGCTGAGTAGTGAACACGGTGTGTAGAGTTGCATGTCAATGCACTCATGTTACTTCCAAACTTGAGCAAAAGCAAATTGCAAAATTATCTTTATCTAGGGATAAGGGAAATTCCAGTGTAGATGAATCATGTTACATGAACCTGCACTAGCAGTTGAGGAACTGGCTCTAATCCAAGGTCTGTCTATT